GTTTGTGCCGTAATTAGGGCGGAAACCAGCTTGTTCCCGAGGTTGGTAAAAATCCAGCTTTGTATATACTATGTTACTACTATTTATTTACAGCACGAGATTATTTTCAAAACTAAATCAAATCTAAACTAATATATAAAATGCCAAGGTCACCATTTGGAACCACGAGAAATTTTTGTATATGAGTCATCTTTCTGAGAATTGCGACATATTATACGCGACACGGGATACGTTGAAGATGCGCTCTTTCGTTACACTGTTGCCCTTTTAGATCTGACGTCCCGATCAACAACTCTACGTGAAGGCCCAAGATAGAATCTACAGGACTCTAGCTCTGCATAAACCCCTTAGGAATAAATAACAGTCAACTATCTTTGAAGGACACGATCTCTACTGGTTATTGCAGTACACAGTAACTCGATAACTTATTAAAACTTTTCATAATCTTCCAATCCAAATTTTCTAGTACATGGCCTATTTTTGTTTGTACTATTGCCTATTGTGTAATAGGCAATAGTACATTGCCTATTACACAAAATTTCTTTAAATTTGTTAGGCACGCCATATGTTCTCTTAGCTTATACAGTAAAGATCAAGGACCATCTTCTAATCGCAGTAATCTTCCAACTTTAGGCTGCTGAGTTTTTAATTAATTTAAGCGACCAAACTTCTTATTGATTACGGACGAGATTCCTTTAGTTATTTCGAGATCTTGGGCAACAGAGTGTGCTATGGAGACGTTTTTCAGAACATTAAAAAGATTCTGCTAAACTTCTGTGGTCACGCCGAATATAGCACTCTTTCTTCTGTGTAATTTGACATAAATTTATTAAAATTTGGTCTTCGGTCATCATTGATCTAATGTTGAAGGTTTCATTCAGTTTATCCGTTTGATTTGGGCCGACATACTTTTGGTTTTTCTTTTGGAAACTTCTTAATTCGGTATATTACGCCATTTATTGTCTATTTAATTTTATATGAACCTTTATACTGTCTTTGAGTCACCTACTTCAAAACTTTCATTTTTACATTGAGAATCATATCGGTCTTTTATTCTATCACTGGCCATCTGCATGTGTTGTCAGGCAAGGTCATGAACGTTGTTCATTATTAGGGAGTTTTTGTGCAAGCAAATACGTATACGTAACGTATCTTTTTGACATATAAGCATGCGCATTAATGATTGAACCAACGTATCTAGATACGCCTCTAACGGGCTGGTACGTTGCGTTCATACGCATCCCTATCGAGCCGAAAATTACCGAATGCACAAGGGATCTTACCCGATTACCAAAATATCAACATCCACATTTGTGGTTAAGAATATTTGTTTTGATTTTTATAAATAATGGAAATGGAAAGCAGTAGAAAACGACTTCACTTCAGTAATGAAGATGATGTAATGAATGTTTATGTTTAAGGAAGCCATAAGTCAGAACCCTTGCGATCATCCAGAAAAGTGAAATTTATTTTAAAGGCGAAAAAGATTTTTACATTGTATATCAGACATGGTATGTAAATTAAACCGGCCGTATAGTCGTGCAAGATGTGCATCATTAATAATGGCACCTACATTTATTATTGCGTCCATCTCCAAAATTAAAAATTGTTTAAAAAATATTTGTTATTTTGAATATCAAAAATGGGGTTAAGTGACAAGTACAAGACAGGCACTGACAACGACAATTTATTAGTTTATCACTAATTCGATGAGGGCAACACCATCGTTACGTTACGTGCAGAACAAAAACTCTCAATTTAACGTTCATCGTCTTCGATACGTTAGTTCTTTACGTATAGGGAGATACGTTACGTTAGGTGGTTACAAAAACTCCCTATTAACTTCAGGCTGTCGACATATTCTTCGCTTGAAATATGTTCTTCAGAAGGTCTGCAACCAAACTTTAGGTCTCAGGGCAAACGATCTTCATAATCCAACATCAAGCAGGTTGGGATCTGGCCTTTAGTTTCATTCACTGCCGATCAGTAGGCCATTGGGAATAAATGAATGTGGTGATACCAATCTCTCTGATATAAGTTTGGTCAGGTGTTTGCCCATTTGTTCGATTCATCATCTCGACCATTACTTTTTAATTAGAGGATTCTGGTCTTATCAGCACCAATCAAGTTACAAATGTTTTGAAACAGGACTGACTCAAAATTTCGCCAGAGTGGATCTCCAAAAGAACACCAAATCGGCTGAAAATTCTGTAACAGGTGTCTCTGCAACGGTAGCAGATTGTATCTCAGCAGCACGATAGTTGGACCAAATAAAGGACATGGTCCTTTACGGTTACTAATGGGGACTGGTTACTAATTCTCTGAAGCAAAACAATACTAACATATGATAGAGATAATTGGACAGAAATAGTCAAACAAATTACATGACTTAACTATATCCTTATGTATTAGAAAATATATAGGAGGAGGCATCAGTCTAGTTTGTAAAATAATCTATGGCTATCAGGATATATCTATTTCCATTAACCGTTTCTGGAAATAGACGGAACTCTGTGGACAATAGTGCATGAAAAATCAGATTCATGAGCTATTTTTTAGTACCTATCAGAAGTAGGTTACAAATTAACGTGACCTAAAATTGCTACTTCTGGCGCTTGAGTAAGATTACAGGCGGCATAGCAGAACAAGCGCTTTTACCGTCCCGTGTTTGGCACTGTTTCATCTTCTGTTCCCTTCCTCATTCCGACCTGCAACTATTTTCGCTGTCCCTCATGAAACTCTTTTAATAGTTTAATTTTTTAGCCTCGTTCATTATGACAATATAAAGATATATGTGATTTCAAGTTAAGCGTAGGTCAAACCGAACACACCGAAATTATGTTTTAGTAGCACTCTGTGGATTATTCTCTGTATAAATTATATAGGTTGTTAGGCAAGCTACATCTAGGAAATTGTAAAAGAAGGCTACTGACCTACGCAAAGTTCAGAGTTTAGTGGAATAATGAGAAACAATTATGAAGAAAAGCAAGACATTATCAACAATACACATACATATCAGATAACGTGTCGCACAATCCAAAAAACATTCCAAAATAAAACAAGAAAAGAAACAGAGGTTAAATTTCTAAGGTAATGGTAGTACCCGTTTAACTCTAAGGTGGTGAAACTTGCACGATGCAAAAACAATAAAGGCAAAGAATGCAGTCAGCTGAAATGAAATTTTTAAGGAAAACTAAGGATGCACAGAAAGACCAAATCAGAAATAAAGATATAAGAGCCGAATTAAATATATTTTCGATGAATAAAAGAATACAACAAAACACGTTAAAATGAACTACCGAACAAACCACCAGCTTAATGAGCTATCTTTTAAAAATATTTATTTGAATTTTAGATTCAAGAACTTACCACCAAAAAATAGAAGAACAACTTAGTGAGACGCAGTAAAAATCTTGTAACCAGAAAAGCAGTATTTAATATTTAGATTATAGTACAGAGATGCAGAGATGTGTGCCATCCAGTTTATATGTGTTTTGTTGACTTTGAGAAAACCTTTGATCGAGTAAAATGTACTGAAATAATAGCTGTTCTTTAGCAGGAAGGTATTGATGATAAAGATCTACGTCTCATTAAAAGTCTTAAGTGGCATCGACGTGCAAACATCGGAATTTACTAGGATAATTCTAAAGAACTTCAAATACGAAGAGGAGTAAGACAGGGCTGTATTTTATTCCCACTAATTTTTAACGTCTATTCGGAATACGTTTTTAATAAAGCATTGCATAGTGTTCAATGAGGTATTAAAATTAATGACGTCAATATTGGTAATTTGAGGTACGCGGAAGACACGGTGTTAATTGCAAATAGTTACGAAGAACTTTAGCATTTGATTAACACGTTGCCTATCGTAGAGGATTTTGTAATACGCCATAGTGACCGAGCCGGCATTACAGTTACATTAAAATTCTCGGTCAATAGACCTCGCTGGCGTGCAGAGCAATTTTTTTCTTGTTCATATAGACATAGACGGCAGGCATTGTGTAAATAATATTACCACAACGTGTGATAAATATGGACTGAAGCTAAACACCACAAAGACAAAGGTGATGTTTGTCAATAAAATAGCAATGCAACCAGAAGTAATAACAGCTTATGGAGAACAACTAGAAAGAACCAACAGTATCACTTATCTTGGTTGCAATATAAATGGGAACTACGATATAATCAAAGAAATTAGAATGCGTATAGAGAAAGTGTTCACTTAGTATAGAGAAGGCTAGAGCTGAATTTTCAAGATAAAGAAAATCGTGTGTGGAAACAGTGTTACTTTGAGACTGACAATTAGATTAGTAAGATATAATGTGTTATCTATCTGAGAATTCTACGAATTAGTTGGGTGAATAGAGTTCGTAGCACGGTTATGTTGCAGCTAATGGGAAAAGTGGTCAGAACAGTTAAAAATCGCAAACTGAAATATTTTGGCCATGTTATGCGCCATTCCGAGAGATAAAATATACTTTATTTAATAATAAAAGGCAAGATAGACCAAAGAAGCGTACCAGGTCGAACAAGAACGTCATTTCTTAGAAATCTGAGGAAATGATTTAACAGATCTTCTGCATCCCTTTTTCAAGTGGCTGTCAACAAAATTAGTATAGCCAATTTAATAGCCAACGTATTATTAATTATGCAGGTAATAGGAAGAAGTAGATATTGAAAAAATGAACCAAAATAGACTGCTAAGGGACAGCCGCGATAAAGTTGCCAAGATTAAGGGAAGAACAGGCTTGAATCCTAATTTCTGAATTGATGAAGATGATAATTTAAGTAATATAAAATATGTACATACATTTTTCTTAATAAAATTGTAATGAAAACTCAATATTGATTAATTATTATTGATAACCTTTTTATGAAAATTATTAAATATAAAGTCAATATATTTTTGTTGTTTTTGACTTAAGTAAAAAACTGACATATTAGTAGTAAAAGAAGAATTGACGTTTCTAAACTTTTATGTATAACCATTTGTAAAAAAGCTGGATTATTTTCACAATAAATTTATCTTTATATTATTGTGTCCAGTATTTTTACTAGTATACATGCAAGAAGAACCACCAACACTTACAGAGGAAGAAAAATATCTAATAAAATGTTGTTATAACAATCTGGAATGTTGTAAGCGAGAACCAACAAATTTTGAAGTAAGAACTCTACTTTTAAAGTGCCAGAAGCAAGAAACGGATTTTAAGAATAGAGAGGATTTCGTAACTGTAAAAAAAACTGCATTCAGAGATGAACCAACAAAAGAACTAACTGAATGTAATAAGAAATTAAAACTTACTATAAGAATTAAAAATATGGGTCTCACTAATTGCAAGAATCAATACCTTATTATCGACCACGCTTTTGATCCTATTACTGGAATTAAGCAAAAACTTTTCAATGTATATGTATTGCAAATTAAGCAACAGCCAGTTTTGGAGATTTATGGACTATGTTACGAAGCTATGGTTAATGCACAAGCCAAAGAAGTTGTTTTTAATAAAAATACTCCAGGTAACAGTTTTAGTTCAAATGTTTCCCAATCTCTCCTTTAAGAATGTTTCTCAATAGTTATGGTTTTTCCTTATGCTTTCCACTGAAAGATAATTAGTAATCGGATGTGTAGTTTTCAATAAAAAATTATTTACAAATATTTAATGTTAAGGTTTATGTTTAAAGATAAAGTAATGAGGTATTTGTTTAATTTGTTTGTCACCTAAAATTGGCTCTATTCTTCATAACAGCAGTTTTTCCTATATTTTAGACATTGTGAAGAGCAAGCTGATAGGTATCTAAGACTATATTCCCTCCTGGGTTGGGGGGTTAGGGGCTTTGGGTTGTATCTAGACTATTTTCCAAACTAGAGGGAAATATAGAGTTATTAATACGGCATTATACAGTTGTGTATGATAAAGTAGGTATTGTCTTGGTAATTACTTTAGACCTCTTCCGGTAATTGGATCATATCTAATAAAAACGGACGTTTTACATTGGTGTTGATGGTATTGTTGACTTTGTTTAATGTAACTGATTTTTAGAGGAGTTTCAAGTTGGTAGTAGGGATGGGAAAAACCTACCGGTTTTAACCGAAAACCGGTTTTTTACTTCGCAATAACCGGTTTTATCGGTTGTTTTTTTGTCCCGGTTATTGCCGGTTTTTTATTTAAAAAAAAAACCGGTTATTAGGTTTTTACGGTGATTAGGATTATTTTAGGTATTATTTTGGATTCCAATCATAATTATTATTCTCAAGTAATTATTCCAAACAAAACCATAATTCAAATTTTATTTTATTTTATAAATACAGAAGCAAACTGAAAGTGCAAACTCACATCAGCCAGAAACAGTTAAGTTTTATTATAATATTTCGTTGAAAAGGTATTTGAAATTATAATATTTACATAAGAAGTGACCTAGTACATCATCTATTTTTCACACTTGACTCTTGACATTGAAAGTGGGTGAATGTCTTTTATGGCTTTTGCTGATTACCAAAAATTAAGTTCTGACTATGAATATCGAATTACCGATAACGAATTTGAATCTCCAAGGATTTCCCTACATTTTCAAAACGATATATTATTACAGGAAGTATTAAATGAGTTAAAATGTACCCATTATACAAATATACAAACGTGTTAAAAGTAATACATGATAATTTTTTTTTGATGGTAGTAAAAATAAAAGATGAATTGCATTATCCAATTTATTTTTAAGTTAAATATTTATGTTGATATTATTTTTTTTAACCCCATTTGAAAGAGTCTGGGAAATTTTTAATGAGTTGAAACGGTTGGGGAATTTTTTGGGTTCGGGAGGAGAGGAGAATTGGTGGATATTTTAAAGGATTATATTTTTAAATGGTAAATTAAATTTGCATCATTAATTGAATACAATAATTGCATATTAAATGACAATTGAACCTTAATTATTTCAGCGCTCTCTGTTGAGCAGTAGTATAATATTATATTTAATAATATTCAATAAACATATAATAATAATAAAATAATAAATAAATATAATAGTTAATAGAATGAAATGGTTTTATTAAAAATTATGTTTTATTTATATTGATATTGATGTTCTTTCGATAATATTAATTTTGATCATATTGATATCGAGTCGAATGAAGTATTGCAAACTAAAGTACATTGTAAATGTAACTTTGTAATCTATTGGATAAAAAAAACCGAGAATCAATTTTTGCAAAAACCGGTTTTTTTTGGCCGGTTATAACCGCCAGGTTAAACCGTAAACAAAAATAAACCGGTATAACCGAAAACCGGTGTTTTGTCAAAAACCGCCATCCCTAGTTGGTAGGGAGACTCTAGGTAAAGTTGGATTTCGTTATCTATGTTAAGATGTTCATCTGCAGGATATTTTAAGACGTTTAGCAAAAGTTTCGGCTTTTTCTTTATTTCTTTTTGTGTATGGACTATTTTAAGTGAGAATAGGGAGATTGGATAGGATGGTGGATGACATTTTATTTGCTTTTTTGCTTTCCAGAGTGAATACTTGGTAGCTACTCTAGATTTTTTCGTGGATATTTTATAACGCTTTTAATGTTATTTTAGCAACTTAAACTTGTCTTGTAGTACTTCTCAATAATTTTTTGTTTGACGTGTATGAATTTGTAAGTATTATGTAGCATTGTCTGTTTGTAGGTTTGTTTTTACTGGGATGTGTTCTTATTTATTAGTTAGTAATTGTCTGACTTGTTCACAGTCTGTTTTATTGGAGATTAATCTGATGACAGATTATAACAATAATAAGCCCACAAGTGGTTCATTTATAAAACCATGGTAACTCCTAAATCTATCAGATCTGGTACTTGGTTTCTTTCGATAGGCTAGTAGGTAGGTTCCTTCATGAACATATGTTTAAGATTGTTGTCTTCTATGCAAATATAAAGTTGTCTTCTCTACATACGTGTATTTGTTTGGCGTTATAGTCTGCGCCTGCCAAGAATCTGTTATTAGTGTCAATTGTTGTTTGTTTATATTATGTCATAGTGGGCAGTATATGCTGGTGCCTTTAACGGATATGCTGATTGCTTGCAAATATTCTACAGTGGTTTTGCTATTCTCATGATTATCAATTTACTATAGTCAATAGGTTTAAGATTGTACTCATGCTCAATAATATTGTTATTTTGCTTTGGTCGTAGAATATTTTTTTGCTGTAACTACCGCTTGTATTTTTGAATATCCCTTGTAGTGGGTTAGATGATTGAATTCGCAGAATATGCATATTTCATAAGCTGAGATTTCAGAATCTGAATTATTAGCTTTAGATCACATATGATTTTGTTGTTTAATGCTAATTTAAGACCAATAAAAAACATTGGTAGTAGTTAGTATAGGTATTTTTAGTTTTATATGGTTTATTATTTACATTAACTCATTCACATACATTTTCACTAGCAGACGAACAACGAGTTTTGAGGTCAGAAAGATCATGCACCGACAGTATGTTTATAATATAACAAGTGCAAGAGAAATCATTAGAATGCAATAAACCGGCCTATCTATGTTTTGTGGATCTTAAGAAGGCTTTTGATCGGGTCAAGTTAAAGGACGTTATTCAACTACGCAAGAGGGATTCTAGGGATAATCAAAACGATCGAAAATATCAACCAAACAATACAATAAAAGTAAAAGTAGAAAAAGAACTGACCGACCCTATTGAATCTGGTAATGGGATAAAACAGGGAAATTCCCGAAGTCGTCTATTGTTCAAGTTGATTATGGATGAAATAATAAAAAAAGTAAGAACTAAAAAAGGATACCAAATGGGAGAAAAACAACTTAAAATAATTTGCTATGCAGACGACGCAATACTACTTTCTCAGAGCGCAGAGGATTTACGAGTACAATGTATACTGCACCAATTAAATATAACCGCCAGAAAATTGAACATGTCAATTTCCCCCCAAAAAAAGACAAATTGCATTGTTATAACATCAAATTTACCAAGATGTAAATTGGAGCTGGAAGGCCAGATAATAGAACAAGTAATGCAGTTTAAATATCTAGGCATCACATTATCCAGTTACAGAAAGCTCAAAATGGCAGTGAAAGATCACAAATAGAGCAAACAGAGCCGCAGTTTATCTGAATGAAACAATATGAAAAAATAAAAATATCGGAACAAAAATTAAAGGCAGAATTTAATAAACAGTCATCAGACCAGTAGTGTCATAAGCGGCAGAATTACGATCTGACATACAAAGGGCAAAAAGGATGTTAGAAACAGCAGAGATAAAAACACTTGATAGTAAAATATTATGGGACAGAGATAGAAGTACAGATCTACGACGTATATGCAAGGTGAAAAACATCTAGGACTGGATAAGAGATAGAAGTGTAGAATGGAACTATCATATAAGCCGAATGACATCAAATAGAGTAGTAAAGACGGCAAGAGACGGTTCCCAAAAAAAAAGACGATTATTAGGAAGACCACGTATACGATGGAACGACACCTTTTTGGAGGCACATTGAAAAACAGACAGAGTAATTTCTACATAAAGAGAAGAAAAAGAAGAAGAAGAAGACATACATTTTATACGCATTATCCATGATCTTGTAGAGTCCGTTATATTGTTTACGTTACCGAGTAGTGCATGTTTTTCAGTATTACACAAAAGCTATGTTCTTATTTTAGATTATATGTATGGAATTGTGTGTCGTGATTTAATAGTCATCATTACCATCAATGGTACTACAGTCCTATGAAAGAGCCTCGACCTTCCCAAGTCTATTACGCCAGGCAGTCCTATCCATTGCCAGTTTGCTGCGCCTATCTTTCTACCATCCTTATCTACACCAACATTCCATCTGAGTTTTGGTCTACCCCTTTTTCTACATCCCACGGGTTGTGACATAGGGATTCTTCTAGGAGGGTTGTTCTGCTTTGATCTTGCTAGATGTCCTGCCCATCTTAGTCTTCCTATTCTTATAAGAGATACTACGTCTTTACCACCAAATATTTGTTTATATCTGTGGTATACCTCGTAGTTGTATCTCCTCCTCCAAACACCATTTTCACAGATGCCACCAAATATTTCTCTCAGGATCCTTCGTTCAAATATAAGCAGAAGGTCTTCGTCTGCCTTGAAGATGGTCCATGTCTCCGATCCATATGTCAACACTGTATAAGGGTTTTGTATATGGTTATTTTTGTTTTTTGGCTTAAGTTTCTACGTGATTTAATAGTTATATTCCATATTTTTCCGGTACCAAACTAAGGAACCTTTTCCTTAACTTTCATTGGCCATTTTGTCTAGGAACTTAATGAAAATTCCATAAAGATTCTTATTTCTACCACATATGTTTACTGTTATTCCTTATTTTTAATTGACCGACATATATTTTCGTGTATTATAGGTGGCCTTACGTCTTATAGAATGTGTAAATTTATTTTTGACGTTTATATTATACAACATAGCACTCCCCTCCTTACAGCTGATTTATCAAAGTATAACTCTACTGCAGGCAATAATACTTAGGATT